AAGTGTGGCTGGGAGGGTGGATTTCAGTTTGGGGTTTTTCTTGCCCCAAACTTGTTTTTCTGTTTCTGTTCTGCTGGGTGCGGAGTGAACACCGGGACACCTTTCCCTTTGCCTAGAAATCCAGTTTATTAGCAGCAGTTTTCTATTTGGGCATGGGAGTCCCCAACCTTGTTCCCGTGCCTGTTTGGACGGGGACTTTTTGCCCAGATTTAGCTTTGTGGTGTGGGGGACTGATGGTGCTTGGTGCTGATTGCAGTTGCAGCGTGCACCACGATCACCCTTGGTGTAATGTGCCAGGGCTTGCCCAGGTAGCTGGTCTGGCAGTGCCCACCTGGAAGGGATGAAATGCTGAAATGAACAAGCTCTCCTTCCCTGCATGTTCCTCAGAGCAGAGAGGAGACCATTTACTTTCCATCCCGTAGGTATTGAGTTCAAACAACTGAATGGACTGGAGCTGTCGATGTGCACTTGATCTGTTTTCAGACACGTTTAACTCTTACTCCATGGCAGTGTGTGTCAGAAGGAATTGTGATTTTTTTTTTTTTTTTTTTTAATTTGAAGGCATTAATGATGCAGGTAGCTCATAGTGCTGCTGAAATGAGATCAGGTATTATGTGGGGTTATTGGTGAGAAATGGGAACTGAGGAGAAGAGAGGAGCAGCTTTTGAGGGGAGGGGGAAGGATGCTGAGAAGGGTCTGTGGTGAGCCTGGGCGCAGTGACCATGTGGAAACACAGCTGCTTTGATACCTATGCATGTTTCTGTCAGAAAGGGAAATTTTGAGACCCCTGAAACTTAAAAATTACTTAAAAATAAATAAATAAATGAGGGACTGAGCAAAAATATAATACTTCATTGGTTTTTGCTTTATAGGTGTACCACTTCTGGTTTTTTAAGTTATCCCTGAAGGGGAGGAGGGGGTGTTTTTTACACCCTGAGTATGTGAAAGAAAGCCTAATAGGATTTTGATAGGTTAAAGGGGAAAAAGAAAGTGTATAGGCTGAAGGGGACAGAGAGAGAGAAGGAGAGTGCATATAAAAGAATGCTGAAACTGTGGGATTTCCCCCATTTTTCCCCTAAGAGGTGCTTAGCACTCAAGTAAGTGGAGAGTTTTTTAGGTCATGGGTGTTGATGGGTGACCATGGGCGTGCTGTGTGTGCTTACATACAGGAGATTGTGTCCAGGGAGTGCTGAGGTGGCTTCTGCTACCTTCCCCATTTCGTGTTGCTTCAGCTTTTCTGTCTCTGCACACAAATTCTTGTTCCACGTGTGCTCGAGGTGCTTGACACCCCCAGCTGGTGTCTGTCAGTGTATTTATGGTCGGCAGCTGTGGCTTGAGGTGACAGGACCCAGGTGCCTACACAGCACCTGGAAAGTAAGTTCTTGCCCAGTAGTTGATTACGGACCCCTCAGAAAGCAGGAAAGCCTGTTTGCTTTCCCAATAAAAGGCATTTGGGGCATCTTTGAAAAAGGGAAACAAGTGGGAATATCTGTTCCCATGCTGTGAACTATAGATAGCACTTGAAGGTTTCTGAAAGCTCCAGAGCACAAGCATCATTTGCCAAGACTTTTTTTCAGTTGACAGCTATTTGCAATGCCTAGTTGGGGTGGATGGGATGAAATAAGAAACCTGCTTCAAGTGGGGAAGGTGCAGACACATGTGAGCCACCTAGATGAGAGATGCTGGCAGTGTTTTGCTAAGGCTTTATTAAAACTCCAGGTGATGCGTTTATTAAACAGAACTCTTGTAGTAAAATACTTCTGTGGAATTGGAAACGACTGTTTCAGGTCTTAGGTGCCTGGTGTGACTGCAAGTAGTGCTCTAAAGTAACAAAACTGAGAGAATTAAGCACAAAGCACCCTCTGCGGGCTCGTGCTGTCTGGGTGTGATAGCCAAAGGAGCTTTGCTTGCACCGAGCTGAAGAGAGCAGGGTTAGCAGGAAGATGGGAAGCACCCAGAATCGCTGACGTTGTCGGAGATGAAGGGTATTTCCAGGAAGGTGCCTCTGTGCTGCTTTCCTTTCCCTGTTTATCCCATGGAGTTCTGTTCCTGTGCTTTCCGGAGTCAGAGCCCGTCCTCCCGGAGCCAGTTGCCTCTCTAATAAATTCAGCGCGATTCCCTTTGTCCCTTGTTCTTCTCTCCCTATGCTCACGTTCGGTTTGGGCTCTTTCTGGAGGAAGCTGGGTGCCGATGCCCCTCGGGTTCCCATGCAGGGAGGAGCACAGCTCGGCTCCCAGGGTGCTTGTGCTGGTCCTGGGAGGGCAGCGTGGGTCGCAGACACACCTCTGCTGCTTTAATCTGCTCCTTCTTGCTGGGGAGAGGGATTACCTAGACGTACGCAAAGCTCATAGAGTCGTAACCACGTGGATTTGTTCACGGGAGCCGATAGTAACCAAAGCGGAGAAGTCTCAGGGGTGTCTGTGATCTTTTATTTAACGCTGCTGTAACTCCTGTGACCGCGCAGAGCTCTGTTTCTGTCCCCCCCCCCCCCCCCTTGCTGGTGGTGCTGTAGCAGCAGCGCGGAGGCTTTAAACTCGTCATGTGCAGCCACCGCCACGGGGCTGAGATCCCGTGCGCTGGGCGAGGAGCTGAAATCGCTCGTGGTGCGGCCAGGCGTCTGCTTGCCGTGTCCGTAGTGCCAGAGGAAGGGGATCCTGGAGCCACCCTAGTGCTTTCAAAGCAGCCTTTCAGTGTCGTACAATAGGTGTCTCACTATTGCCACGAATCGAGGTGCACGGCAGCGCTGTGCCTGCTCCGCTTCCCCTTCCCTTCCACGCTCTGCGAGCGGGGTGGAGGAGCCAGCAGTTTAAGGCGGTGTTTCTTCCCTGCTTCTCCCCCTTCCTCCTCCTCCTCCCTCTTGGGATACCCAAGTGCCTCTTGGCAGAGCTTTAAACCGCACCAGAAGCTTTTGTCCTTCGATGCTGTGTGGAAAGCGAGAAAACCCCAAAAGCTGGGTTTAGACCCTTCATAGCTCAGTAGGCAGACAGCTTCCCGAGCCTCTGGTCCATCCTTTGGGTGCTGAGCAGGCAGGGGGATGTCCGGGCTCCCCTTCCCAAGGGAAATGCAGGGCGTGCGGAGCCAGGGCGTGTGCAGGACGTGTCCCATTCCCGTGGCACGGTGCTGTGCTCCCAGCCCCTCCAGCGAGCGGCCCCGCTGGCTGTGCAACCCTCCTGAATGGCCATGGGCAGCCCGGGGGGGCTGCTGGCGTGACACCATGCGAGGCACCCTGAAGAGCGCTTTGACTGCCAGTTCCGTGGTTTGGGATTTTTTGGCATTATGCTTTCCCAGCATTTGTAAGGATGAATGAACCGTGTCCCCTCACCCAACCCCCCTTTTTTTTTTTTTTGTGTTCCACTTCGGACCAAACTTTCAAGCTTCAGGCTGCTGCTTGAGATTACTTGGATGTGCCAGAGAAGTGTATCACTGATTTAGGGTGGCTGTTTCACACCAGTTTCTCCAGCTGATATTCCAGTGTAAGGAAGTTTTTTGCAACTCTTTCCACCCCCCCCTCACCGTGGAGCACCTCCTGCCTCTGCTTTATGGGAAATGACAGCTTAAAAGGGGCTGTGTGATCTGGGTTTGTGCCTATTTATACGATCGCGATCAAGTACTGAAATGAGCTCTTGCCTGAGAGGGGCTGAGAGCAGCCAGCAAGCGCTGCACCAGCGAGACCTGCTTGCCTGCCCTGCAGAAAGCACATTTCTTGTGGGATCTCGTGGGCATCAGAGCATTTGGGGTAAAATCTACCCAGAAAGGGAAATTTGGGCAAAGCAGCTTTGTGAGCAGGGAGCTGGGGCTGCTCCCTGACGAAGCCTTTGGAGGAGAGCACTTGGAGATGTGAAAACTGCTCCCTGCAGGGCTGCGAGTGTGGGTGGCGGCGCGAAGGGAAGGAAGGAAGGAGTGCATTTTAAAAGGAGCCGAGGGGGAAAACGAAAGCTTTTGGGTTCATCGCTAGACAGGAACGTCTCAAACTTGCTCCGTCACGAGACTCCATTGGCCTGTGTACGACTGACACACTTCTGGCGGAGAAGGCCCTTAAAACGTGCGGGGTTTCCTCTGGGAGGGGTCAGCATTGAGCAACTGAAGCACCAAGGAAAACGTGGCTGAACGAGAGGCCCCTCTTTCTGCTCTTCTAGTGCCCCAAAACGTGTTTGTGGCCCTGGAGGCCATGTCGCCCCGTGCTGTCCCTTCTCCAGGAGCCAGGCAGCAGTACCTGGGCCCGGCTGAAGCCCGGTTAATCCGCACATTCCTGCGAGTCCCGAGGGGTTTGCGGCATCTCCGGCATTTATTTGTTCTCTCCCTTTGGGGGAAGGGAGCAGACAAAGGACTTGGCTGTGAAGGCAGCCAGCACGCTGCCAGGCTCTGCAGTAGCACTTCAAAGTGGGGATTTTGTTTGCTAGATAAGTGAAAACCGATATAAATTTGGGGTGAAAACACAATGAATTTGCTGCTCGTTCCCTCCCCCCCTTTGCCCTCCAACCAGAGACAAAGAGTATCAGATGTGTTAAAATATAGCCTGTTGTTAGGCTAATGGGGAGCTTAGCATCAGAGTAAATGTATTTATTAAGCTCCTAATCTCTTCCTTAAAGGCTGTGGAGTCCTGAAGGATCTTCTGGGTGAACTAAAATTAAATAAAAAGTAATAAAAGGACTAGTAGGTGGAGGAGAACCCAGTGTAGATGCAAGGGATTACTCAGTTCTAACGGGGAGAGTTGGGTACTGAAGGCCCTAAAGCTGACACAGAAATAGTCCTCAAAAAAGTGCAGACTCCCTGAAATATAGTGGCTGTCAAACATGGAGCAAGTGCTCCTGTAACAGCTTTTTGGGCTTGCGATGATTTTGACCTGACATTCCCCCTGGCAATCTGTTTTTTGTTGTGTGTTTGGTTTTGCCTCTCCTGGTAGAAAATGTTTAAATGTGGACACTGCCGTGTGTAGCCTACCTTGTAATGTTTTTTCTTTTTTTTTTTTTTTTAACTGTGTTCTTTTGATTTATTTGCAGGAGTCGGAAACTTCAGATCAGAAACATCCCGCCTCACTTGCAGTGGGAGGTAGGAAATTACTTTAAAAATTAAGACGTTTGCGTTTAAAATGGTGCTTCTGTTTCTCTTCTCACCCCCAAGACTCGTCCCCTTCCCCCACCTTTCACTTGCTGTGCACACACCACCCATTCTTTTCTGGGGAAAAATCCTTTGGAAGAGGGAACAATAGAGCCTTCTAAGCAATTCAGATAACTGCCTTCATTTCTGTGCTCCGAGTTAACCATAAAAAATGTTGAAATGGATTCTTTGGTGAACGCTGACTTCCTGATGCAGTCACTCGCTTTGACTGAAAGCTTGTCCATTTCAGACCTTGCTGGTGTACGGGCTCAGCAATCTTAAGATTTAAAGATTTAAGTCCTCAGATTTAAATACTTGGCCAAAAGCAGATAATTAATGCAGATTTTTCTTTGATTCCCTCCCCCCCCCCCATCTTTTGCTCCTCTTTAGTGAGTGGCATTATGGCAAGTTATTTGCTTGTATTATTACAGTTACGGGCTCTCTCCAATATATTGTGTACTTGCTGTTAATGCTTTGCAAAATGGCATAATTTTTACAGTAAGTGGGCTACTGTGAGAACAGATTATTGTCTTTGCTGTTTTTTATATCTTGTACATGTTTAAAATGTTTTCACATCTTAGTAGTGGTAAGCCATCCTTTCACCTGAGGGAGCTTGGTGGGCAGAGGAATTGAGGTTGAAGCGCTGGTAGTGTTCTCCTCTTGCTCTGCGTACTTCATCTGACTTTGCCTGCTGCTACTTCTTCTTTTACACCATCTGATTGTCTCCTAGCTTAGAAGAAAGGTGGAGGCATTACTTGGCCAACCTAGGCTGTTAAACCAGACACTTTCAGCAGGGTATCAGCAAACACCACCTCTTGCTGCTGAAGTCTGTCCTTCTGGTGTGTGCTGTCAGTACAAGCATTTCCTCGGCACTTACTGAACCTTTTGCTCCCCTCAGATGAGCCACATCCATTTGATCCATTTTTATTTGAAATTCATAGCCACTTTTTTTGTCGTGCCCTTGGCACCAGCTATTAACTCCTTGGGAAGAGGAGTAATAGAAATGGTTGAGGGTGACTGGTTTGAGGATTAGTTTATTTTTGATATAAACCTCAAGTAGCCTCTGAGGGCTTGGGGTAGGAGTGAGTATCAGAGCAGGGGCATACGGTTCAGAAAAAGGGGAATAAATGATGTAAGCACAGGGCAAAGAACATTAAAACGTGTTCCCCTGTGGGGCCCTTCTTACATGCATGTAGCTATTAGTGCTAGTATGTTACAGGGTTCTGCCCTGTTTTCTCTCTGCTTCCTGATTGTAAATTTTCCCTTTCCTTGTCTATTGCTACAGTTTTTGTGGTGACCTCTGGCTCCACCACAGGGATGGTCCCTCTGCTCCACCTATTCAAAACACTGTAACTTGCTAAAGTTACAAAGCAAGAGTTCAGATTATCCATTCTCACACCACCCTGACTGTGCCTAGGTGTCCTGAAGCTGTTTGTGCAGACCTGGGCCTGTGTCTGGGGGCAGGATTTAGAGGGATCAGGCCCCAGGATAAGCTGGACAATGCTTTTGCATTTCCTAACTACATCAGGGCTGCTTGCCAAGTACAGGTTGTCCACAAACTTCCTGAAGTTTTGCTTTGTAAGTACTGGAGGTCTGTTGTTTCTGCACTGAGCAGGTAAGTTGACAGGTTCTCTAAGAAGTGCTACTGACAAAAAATGGCAGCTGGTGATTAAGTTCATCAGAGGGTTGTCTTATGTCAAGCTTTCCTTGGGTTCTGGTACCTTTTGGTGCTGAAGGACTTTGCCAAAACTTCTCTTGAGTGCTGCAAGGAAGCTTGGGATGGTTCCTCCTAAAAGCAAGTCTTTCTTGCAGCCAGTTACTTGTTGGGGAGTGTAAGTTTGTGCCTACGGAGAGGGGCTTACATTGGAGTAATGTTCTTGCCTAATGTTTTCTGAGAGGGTGGGGTGTGTGTGTGGCAGCTGGAGCAATTTCACTTAAATTGTTTCTTATAGTCCCTCTGTGCCAATCTGCTTGCTTCATCACTCCTTCGTTAATTGCTTGAATCAAGACTGACTTCTTCTAATGGGTGTGAACTCCTCAAAGCCAAGCTAGAAACAATGGATGAGAGAGGTCTCTGGGTTAGTTTGGTCTGTCAGCCCTCCTGTATGTTTAAGGGTGAAATACAAAACACGCTCATTACCCTGCAACACCTTTCTCTTTACGGTGACATAGGGATATATGAAGTGGACTGAAGAAAGATTAATGTTCTTGGGAGAATTTGTTCTAGTGTAATCATTGTTGCGAAGGTTACCTTGTCATTCTGTGCAGAAGCATTGGCTTAAGCTCTACTGAATTATGTCTTGTTTTGCTCTTTATAGAAGACAAACATGGAAAGCCTACAGCTGTGGTCCCCTCAGTCATGGTGTGTGCCTTCATTTCAGTGCCTCCTGGCTCTGCTCGCTGCCCGCTTGTCATGCGGTGCTATCTGTGAGTCCTGGGCCTTGTAGGACTGGAACCAGCGAGACTCTGTGAGCACACAACAGAGGGATACTTGACTTATACCAAAAAAAAAAAAATCTCCCACAAAACTACTGATGATAAGGAGGACATCCCTACTGTTCTTAAATGCAGCTCCTTGCCTTCAGAGAAGGCAGGTTCTTACCTGCACTTTGGAGTAGTGGTTGAAGGTGCTGGTGTTGCAAGAGAGGGAGAAAATACTGAACTTTAGTGTTAAGGAAAGCTTGTCTTCCCTTTGGAAGAGAGTGGTTATCCTGAAGTCTTGTGCAACGCTTTATTTGACCCATGAAATTATTCCAAGGAGAAAACAGTGGGTATAAATGGCCAGGGAGTACCAAGCATTTATTAATAAGACTTTTCATAAACCAGGTGCACAAATTCCTAGATTAACGATGCATTTTTCTGGTTGCCTTTTTGGAGGAAAAACATGCCAGCTAGTTCTCTCCTATGCATAGGTTGAACAAGTTCCTGAATAAAATACTTTTACAGCCGGGCACAGCAAGTGGATTTGTGTTCACTTCTTCGGTGTAACGTTAGGTTCACTGTGTACTTATCAGACCATTGTGGTGTAAGTAAAAGAGGTAAGATAACCCTTTTAGACCATGTTCAGGGTGAAGTGGCAGAAGAAAGGCAGATAATGACCTGCTGTAATCTGATGAGTTGCTACACTTAAACAAGACCACAACGTTTTACCCTGAAGAGCTTGTTCTTAAAGTGCAGCTATAAAAGATAATATTCTGATGCACTTCAAGGCATTTAAGGTTAAATTTGTGTAAAACTTGCCTGGTAATTAATTTGAACTTCAAAAGAGGATTTTTGGCAAGGTCCTGCAAGTTTCTGTACCTGGGGATTGGATATTTTTGTACTCTTTGCCCAGCCAGGAGAGACTGGAGGTGGAGGGAAGGCAGCATATGTGTAAATTAAGTAAATATAAGTGCTTGCTCTGGACTGAGGCTGGGGTCTGGACTGCTAGGGGCTTTTTTTCTGAGCATGTTTTCTATTCATCCAGGAGGTCACTTACGTTTTCTCCTTCCCTTGCTGGCCTTCCTGGGTTTGAGGACTCTAGGAAAACACCTGTGTTCCATAAAACCCTGATCTTGGCTGGAATGCATCTTCCTTTTATTCCGCTTACATATAAAGTGTACAGAGAAGTTGCTTTACCAGTCGAGTAATCTGAAGGACATGTGCATTAACAGATTTTATTTTTTAAATAAAGCAAAGTTTCACTTCTTGAGATTGTTTGGAGGAGTAAAACCACAATTAGTGCACATCTTTTAGTGACAGTGGGTGGGTATAATTTTTCCCCTTCTCTCTCCTTACTTATCAAATACAAAGTCCAGATTGGATGCGAAGAATTGAGGCAAGAGGAGACATTGCCATAATGTCTCTTCCTGTTCTCCACACATAACCATCTTGTCTCTCTCATTGGAAACGTGCACCCTGGCCTTATAGTCTCTGCAGAAAACTTAAAAGCTGTGTTACCCTTTCCTGAGCTGTGTTCTCTTGCACAATAACGTACTGTTTTGTCTCTTAATTCATAACCACAATTTCTATCTTAGCTTGTGAGCGTTCAGCACTGGAGGTGTATTTATCATTAGAACAATGACAAGCCTTCCAGAAAGAGGTCTAAGTGTGGAGACTTAAAACTGAAGTATCCAGACTTTGTTTCCAATGGATTCAACACGATGGGAATCCAAGTAGGGTTCTTTTCCCGAGAAGGAACCATTACGTGAACTCTTTACAGCATTTTAAAATGAGCTTTTTCAGTGTAGAAGCTGCTTCAAGAAATTGACTTTCCAAATATTTTTTTCCCATGTTTAGTGAATCGAGAGCTAGAGAACAGATTTTCAGAACACAGATGGTGTCAGAAGCAGCACTTGCTGGCTCAGCGGGAAGGTAGCTGTTGAAGAGTTCTCACTTATCTTCTGCAGGCTTATTTCCTTATCGGTTTGTTTGGAGCAGATAAACAGATACAGTGTTGATGAACTCTGTAATAAAAAAAGGTAGACTAAAAGCCCAGCCTGTGGAGTGTGAACCTGTTGAGTGAGCGGAGAAGCAAGGAAAACATTGTGTGTATTTCTGGCTTTGCTGTGAGACTTGCAGGTTGCTTTTGGGGATAGGAATGTGTGGGAAGGGAGGTCTGAGTTAACTCCTCCAAAGGTAAAAGTTTGTTACTAACCAGGGTTTGCTTTTCCTCGCTCTTCCACGGAAATGAAAAAACAGTCTCTGAGCTCTGTTGAGACCTCTGCTTTCGATTCTCTCTGCAGAAGTAGTAACAGGGAAGGATTTCTGGATGGAAGTTGCAGCGTGAGTACACATTCTACATTGAGATTTGGCAGCGCAAGAAGAGTGGAGATGGCACAAACCTGTTTGCATATACTGTAAGACAGCATTCAGCTTCTTTACAAGAAGTGAGACTGATTGTGATTAGGAGGAAAAGTTGGTAAATCTTACAGTGCATATCACTACTTCTGGTGATCTATAGTAGCTTGTGT